TATAGGGGCTTGCCCTTATAGGAAGCTTTTCCCGAACCCAGCATAATATAAACCTTATTTAATTCCTTATATTAAATAGGGGAATTTGTCGGCCAATATATTGGTTTTCGCAGACCAAACAGAGCACAACAATTTGACACCAGTCTCTGGACGCCTAGGAGCCATTACAGATGCTTATATGCCCAAAAATAGCCTAAAACTAACATTTTCTCGAAAAACTAGAAATATGGCACCACCTCCAAATTGGCACCTAAATGCCCAAGGAACGACACTTACGTGCGGGTCACCTCCCGGGTGATGCTTTTTCTCTGTATTTGACATTGCATCAACTCCCGAAACCACTAGAGTCGCAGATGGGTGACTATTCCCCTTTTTCCCTCCTATAGAAGTATCTCGGGCTTCTTTTAGGGGCATTTTGGTCATTTAGAGGAGGGAGTCGAGTTTAATCTATTACCCCTCCCCCTCTCATTTTTGGTTGGCCCCATTTTTTGCCCGGGAGTGCCTTTGGCTTTCGTCCCTCTCTCCCTCCACTTAATCTTCTTCTTTGATGCGGTGAGCCTAGTGGGAGAAGCAGAGGAGTTGTTGTGGGAGGTGTCATTGGGAGGGCACCCCCTTTGAAAAGACCATGGGAGGAGGAGGTGTCGACCTTCCTCCCTTCTTCTTCTTCTTCTTCCTCCTCCCTCGTCTACTTCATCTCCCTCCTCATTTCTTGAGTGAGTGAGAGGATCTTTTTGAGGAGGAGCTCGGGAGCAAGGCGCCACTCTCCTACGTCGGAGGAGAGCTTTAACCTCGCTCGGGGAAGAATCGCTGCAACATCTTCGGAGTGCCACCGGAATGTGAGCTTCTCTTCTATTGATAGGAGAGCTTCCTCCTATTTGAAGAAACACGTCTGACTTCTTCGCTACGGGGAGAACCCTAAACTCTTAGCCAACCCTAGTTTCTTTTGGTGTGTTTGGTTCGGTCGCCCACATGTGGCGGCCGTTAATTTCCTAGAGTTAGTCCTAGGATAGGGAGCATTCGTTGGTCACTCCTAGCGAACACGAGTGATTCTGTTTATTTTGAGTCCTAGGTCGAGTCTCATTGGGTTGGAATCTCAATTTCCCACGGCTTTAGCACTCTCAACCTTCCTTGAATAGTTGGTTGAGTTCGATATCGAGGGATTGAAAAAGCTTTGTAGCTAGCCCATCCAGTGAGATTGTGGGAGTTCGTAGGACGGAAAAAACGTTTTATCTAGTCCTCCCTACGAATGGTGGAGGACTCCCCCTACGAGAAATCAGAGAGAAAAGACCTTCACATTGCCACGTCAAATCCAGGGGCGGCTATGACGCAAATCCAAGAGCGTCAACTCTATATACATACGTGAGGACATTAGGCCAAGTTTTACACATTATTTACGTGGTCGTTAGTGGCATTTTTTATGTGCGGATCGTATTGCATGTTTCATGCATGATTGCTTGAGCACTTCGGGTCGATCGGTCGTATTTCTAATATAGACTCAGTCCAAGGACTCTATCAAATACATTTGAAAAAGAAAATAAGGATTTAACCTGAATGACAATAATGTTAACGAGAAAGTCAACAAAAATAAGACGTATAATGAGCTGTGTCTTTCATCGGGGGAGCTAAATGACACCTGCAAGGAAAAGATTAGAAATCATTATGTGCTTCCCCTTAATGATGTCTTTGTGTGTGCTTATATATAGGCACGACTCCCTGCTGAAGAACATCCTTATATACTATCATGCATAACAAGCACACAAGCACACCAAAAAATACGAAAGTGATGCACGACTAGCACAAGCAAACCATCAGAGAACAATTGTCAGATGTGTCAAAAAAACTACCTAGCATCATAAATCCTAGCCTAGTACATCATCTAACAAAAAGTTTCATAACAAGCATCTAAGTGCAAGGTAAGTCTCCAGGTACGTATGACTTTGACGGGTTCACTACACTGGACTCGTTCTATAGATCCAAGAGATTTAAAGGGTCTAACCGAGGCTGGATTTTAAAAAGAGTTTGTCTTATATACAACCTAGTTTGCTACATGCATATTTTTAAAATTATGGTGAATGTAAAAAGTAGATATATATATATATATATATATATATAGTTTTAAAATAAGAGTCATTAAATGAGGGTCGTGGCGCCTACACGCTAGTCCATTCTCAGGTCGCGTTTAATAATATATTGATATATATATATATATAGACACACACACGCGTTCTTGCATGAGCCCATACAAAATGGGGTTAATAATATATTGATAAAAAAATTTAGTATATAAAGGACATTGAAAAGTGTAAGTTATACTTTATAAGAAATCCCTTTTGAATGTTAATCATTATAAAAAACATGCCAGTAAATATTCTCTTATTGCATGGTCATAGGATATTAAAAATAAATCAATGATAAAAATTGTACATGTTTTACATAATTTTTTAATTATTGATCTAAGCCGATGGCTTATAAAATGAGAAAAAGAGAAACTATTAAGTAAAAATCATCCATGTTTTTCAAGTAATCTAGTTAAATACTTCTCTCTTTTGGTGTCTTATAAATGGCCTATAACTCTTCTCCCTTTTGTAGAACAAATAAACCAATCTCGAACATTTTAGATAGTTATTCCCATTTAATTAATATGATGGATGGATATTTTGTTACTCTCTCGATGGATTTAGATATCATCTCTCAATTTCATGTGAGCTCAAGATTAAGGCTATTTGATTATTATAATGATTGTTCATGATAAAGAAATTATGATTCTTCTTAAATGAAAAAAAATATAAATAGAAAAAAAAAGTAATAAAGTTTTGAAGGCTACAACAATAGGAACAATTTGCAACTTATAACAATAAGGGTGTGACAATAAAAAAAAAACTCTATAATGTCATTGAAATATTGCATAATTAAAAAAACGTAATGCAACAATGATGGCTGCAATATATGGCAACGACATGATTAAGACTATAATAATGAAAATATCAATAAGTAGAAACATTTAAGACTAATTTCATGACAAGAAGATGTTTCTACATAGTGATATTTTCACAAAGTAGGTTACAATGAAGATGTAATAATATCTAAGATATAATATAGAATCATGTCAAATCCTTAAACTATTTATCTCTTAATGCAGCAAATGAAGGCCTTTTTAGGTTGGGAGATGGGAGATGGCATGATTAATCAAAAGAATTATATTCTTAAAGAGAATAAATATTAAATGAATCAATCTAATTTTGTTGTTCTCAAAATATAATTATTATATTATAAGGCAATTTTTTTAAAAGCATTTTCTACATTATATAATAATATAAATCTAAAATAGAACGTTAAAATCAAGAATTAGGTTAATAATTGGGCTAAATTGTTAACCCATACCAAAAACTAGATCAATTATATTAATTTGTATGATATAAAAACAATTCCCTTATGAGTTTTTTGGTAGCAGAATTTGAACAGGATTTAAATAGCATTTAACCTAAATCTTGTAAAACATCAAGCATGATAACTTTAAATCCTACATGATTTTTTTTTTTTTTTTTGAAATTTGAGGGTCACACCCAATTATTCATTTATGAAAAGTAATTTACATTAAAGTCTAAAAAGGCGTCAGCAATGTAAAAAAAAATTCTATAAACTATGAAAAGTAGGAAGGCAATAAACTTCTTAATAAACAATAAAAATACAAAATATGGTGTAAAAAATGATAACAATGAGCTCAGGTTAATCCTTGTAACATGGTGTGACTGACTCCATCTGAAGCTATCTAAGAGAGTAATAGGATTATGGATCGAGATATCAGAGAACTCTCACGATTTAAACTAAAGAAAAGATATATGTAGTCATTAGGGATAATCAACAGGAGTGTATAATATGTTTGACATTTTAAGTACCAAAATAAGTGAGAGTGCATCAAATTTAGAAGCCATACTGCCTAAAACTAGAGTTGTAGCGAAGGAGGAACAACAAGAGTTGCATCTGCTAAATAGAGTGGACTGAAATATTATTGCAACATAAAAGATCCCAATACCAAGTAGTAAAAGCTACAACGAATAATTGGCTGAGTCTTGTTGAGGTGAAGGATTTCTTCATCATTGCTCCATAACAATATAAAAAATTGTTGCAGCATTAAGTCAAGTGTAGTATTCAATGGATAAACAAAACAACATAATCAATATTGTACATCCATCTTAGTATATAAAATACGAGGAGTACAACAATCTTTCATAAAAATTTGAAGCAGACAAGTTAAAATGAACAATAAATGCTAATTCATAAAACAAAAAAGACCTAAGGATGGAAGTTAAAAGAGCCCAATATAATAAAAAAGTGGGACATTAAAAGCACAATGTCAGCAATCCAAAGCATCATCATAGAGAAAACCAACAATTTAGTGTTATAAAGAAAAAATGTCGGCTACTAGCAAGAGGAATATTGCCATAATGCCTCCATTTTTTGCATTTAAGACTACTAGCAAATCGGCTTTTGTTCTTGAACACCTCTTAGGTATAATCAATGTTAAGAGAATATTCTACTATTCATTTCTAACCATCAACAGCGAGAAGTAATATGGACTACAAGTAGAAAGAACATCTTGGTGATTTTGCATTCAAGGTTATCTCTATAAACCAATTAAAGAAAAATATTACACAAAAATATATGTAATGAGATTCAAATTAATTACCACAAATGGTTATCTCTATTATTATAATGAAATTATAATCAAGAGCAATTTTTTTTTTGCAAAATTGTAAATAGTGAATAATTAGTTTAATATATAATTAATTAATAATAGATGTAATTAGAAATAATAAATAAATAAATAAAAATTGTACGCTATTAAATCAATAATTCATATTAAAATTTTATTTGAACTAACATATTTAAATTTTAAAAATAAATTGTTAAATAATTCCTAAAGTTTAACCGAATTCAAATTTAGGAATTTATTTAATTTGAATTTGCAAGATTTACTAAATGATACTTCGTGGGAAATCCTATTAGGCTGCAAAACATGCCCATATTAGGGTTTATTGAAATGCGCCGTCGTCGTTCGCGATTCACCCCGCTGAACTGACCATGGTGCGCATCGTCTATAACAAATGATCCACATCGTCCAGCGAATCAGTAGAAGCCCATGGATCGCCGGAGAGAGGTTTTCTCTGTGCCACCTCACTGTCCTCAACATCTTCGCCGACAAATCTCTGCTTCATTCCTCCTCGAGTTCAGACCTCACCATATCCTACCTCATGAAATCATGCGGCCTCTCACAGTCGGTGGCTCTTTCCCTTCCCTCGCTAATAAAATTAACCTCAAGACCACAGAGAACGCCGACTCCATCCTTGCCCTCCTCCGGGAACATGGCTTCGCTACGAGCCATATTGCTTCTATCATCACCAAGTCTCCTCGCATTCTCTTCTCTGACGCGGAGAATAACATCAAGTCCAAGCTGGAGTTCTTTCTTGGTGTTGGAGTGTCCAACGATAGCCTTGCGAAGCTCATCTCAGCCATACCCTCCATCCTAAAGTGTAGTCTTGAAAACAGGCTCAGACCCAACTTTGATATTCTCAGAAGCATCTGCGGCAGCGACAAACAATTGCTAGCCAACACCTGCAAATTTGCCTGGCTCTTAAGCCGCAACTTCGAGAAGGAGGTCTTCCCGAATTTGAAGACTCTGCAAGATCATGGAGTCCCCCCTTCCAATATAGTAAAATTATCTATCATGATCCCTCAAGTATTGCTGCGCAACCCTGCCCGTTTCAGCAAATCAGTAATTTCGCTGAAAGAAATGGGGTTTGATCTGTCGGCACTGAATTTCGTTTACGGTCTCAAGGCAATTTGGATGCAGAGTAACTCAAATTGGGAGAGGAAGTTCCAGCTCTTCCAGAGTTTAGGCTGGTCGGCGGAGGAGACCTTCTCTGCGTTCAAAAAGTTTCCCGTTTGCATGATGCTTTCAGATAAGAAAATCAAGAGGGGTGTTAACTTTTTTGTGGAGATTATGAATTTTACACCGTCCGTTTTGGCAACACAGCCGATTCTCCTGTGTTACAGTCTTGAAAAGAGAATCGTGCCTAGGCACAACGTTATGAACATTTTGGCCTCCAAGGGACTAGCAAAGAACTTCAAAATGACAACAATATTTTACGCAAGTGAAAAAAGGTTCCTTGAGAAATATGTTTTTAAGTATAAGATTCAAGCTCCAGAAGTCATTCTCGCTTACAAGGATAAAATTGATGTGAAATGCCTTATGTTGAATTAGTCGCCATGGATCATTGAGTTGTAAGCCTTCTACCTGATTTCCGAAGCTGTGCATTTTCTTATTTTGAGTGCCAATTGAGCTTTAAGGTTGCAAGTCATCTTTCATAAAGTTTTTGGGGCATTTACATATAGATCACCCAATTCCTATGTATTTACATATATAATACCTAAATACTTTTCTCTCTACATTTATACCACCCAAGGCTTTCATATCACATTAAAAATACCACAATTTTAACTTTCAAATAGTGAAATACACCTTTCCATGCACCATGCATAGGGAAGGTGATATATATGTAAACTTAAGTGTTAGATACGTATATATATAAGAATTGAATGGTATGTATGTAAATTTTCCAATGTTTTTCGTGTTAAAGTGTCTAATTGCTTATTTTCAGAATCCTTCAAGCTTGAGCTGGTCTGTAATACCATGGCATTTGATTAGCTAAGTTTTTTTTATGCAGTCCAATTTTTTTGATTAGCTATTAATTAGACTTGCAATGGTTCTATCTTTAAAGATTCCTACGTTTCTTTTATTTAACAAACAATCTACACCTTATTTTATCACACGCTTGTTTTCGCGTTTTGGAAAATTTACTTGAATTTTTGCATTGCACGGGAGCTGATATTGGAGGTTCTAGAACTCCAGTGCTTCTTCTATTGCTCTGCAGTTAATGTTAGTATGGATGAAAAGGCTAAAGTTGTCTTAATTTGAATGTGTTTTTTATGAAAGTCTGCAGGTCCTTGTTGTAGCTGTAGATACTTTTTTATGTTAGGCAAGTGGAATATGGCAGAGGCAGCGTTTACTCTTTGTGGCCATTCAGTTTTAATTTTAATAGGCTATGTCGACGTGGAATACTGGAAGGTATCAGTTTGTTCCTTCTATGAGCAATCATCCTGATCAATTACTGATTAATTTCAGCAGTATTAGCAGTTTATTGGACTTAAGAGATTTTTATTTAAACATTTATTCGTTGAGATTTTACCATAAAGGTAAGTATAGAAAGAGGAAATGTTTCACTGGAATATGATAACAATTCTACTTTAATTTGAAACTAAAGATAGCAGATCTCATGCTGCAATGACCTGCCAGAGCTTCTCATTGATACTTCATCAGTTATTCCTAGGAATATTTAATAACCTGCTCTTTGGATTAAATTGCAATTATATGAAGAAATTATGAGCGCATTGCTTGTTATTCTAAAGCTGAACTTTCATGCTGTTTTACATGTATTTGTGATCTCCCAAGTTTGGAAACTTTTAGAGTTCTGGTTATACTTTCCAGAACGAATTTTTGAGGCATGGTCATTGCATTTTCTGCAATCAAATGTTCTTTTCATGAACGAATATCAATTAAACAGAAATCAGTGATCTTTACATCTTTATCATACACAGTTAGTAATCTGTTTAATGTTTTTATGCTGCTGCTTTTTTTGCGAGTCTTGTATTATCATACTTATTTAAATTGGAGGTATAAATGATGATTGTATGCTGTATTTGAATTTATTTTCGTTGAATTGTTTGCTATAGTGAGCATTTGAAAATTTAGTTCGGGTGCCCTTAAAGTCTATTGTGTTCAAGCTTTCAAAATTGTGCAATGAGAAGAAGGATGTTTTCTAAGGTGAAATTCCAGAGAGAGAGAGAGAGAGAGAGAACATCTTTGATCCATGAGTATCCAACAGGGATGTAAATGAGTCGAGCAGAGCTCAAGCCGCCCTAAACTCAAGCTCAAGTCGTAAGATCGAGCTCATAACTTGAGCTCGAACTCGGCTCGGGCCAATTATGCCCGGCTTGAGTTTGGCTTGAAAGCTCCATTTTGAGTTGGACTATGATAAAAGTATCTTAAAAACTTATGGAATAGTAAAAACTTTATTTATTATACCAAAATTAAGATTAATTAATGTAATTGAGTTAACTCTAAAATTCTGACCCCAAAGTACACTTTCCATCCCGCATAGTTGACTGAGTGCTTTTGTGCTCATCCATGTAGCTGTATGTCGGAAAGCTTTAGGAGGAGCTTCTTTTGATTTTGAGAAATAAGGTGATATGGACTTTCCATCTTTGCTCTATTTATCTTTGTTTCTTGTTCAGCTTCTATGCCAGAATGGTATCAAAGTCAAAACTGTAGCGTTATTCAGGCTTTTCATGCATTTAAATAAACCTTTTTATTTGTGCTTACATGTGCTTTTATGACAAAAAAAAAAGTGTAGTATGTGATCTGTTACTGTCAGCTAACTTGATTACTTAATGTGATTTCTGCAGCTATTGCTTCTGTCTGTGCTTCAGTTCAAGGAATCTGCTGTGGAACATTAAATGATAGACTATGAAAGATTGCTTCAATCTCTCTGAGCTTTCTTTCTTTTTCTGTATGCCTTCTTTTGAGGCCATGGGCCCTGTTTTATGGCCCTTCAGTTCTTTTGAGGCCATGTATCAGTTTTGCCGCAATTTTGGAGATTTTGTAGTTGTTGAATGGCTGAGTGCAGGCCACAGGGCTTTAGACTCTTTGTGAAGAAGCCAATAACATCTCCAATTGGTTTCTCTTCTTCTATAAAGCCAACTTTGGACCAGAGAACAGCATCAGATGACCTCATCATGACCATTGTCAGCAATTTCTCCACCTTAATTGTAAGTCAGTTTTAGGGATAATTATAATTGTTACTTTTAAGCTAATTTTAACTATTTGAGTTTCTTTAGTTAGTTTGATCGTATAAGATATTGTTTTAATGGTCCAATAGAGTTTCTGTTTGTCATCACTTGCTGGAACACAATATATACCTTTTTTTTTTTTTGTTTAAGGTATGAATATCATAACATTCAATAGAATATCACACTCATATTTTTAATTTTTTGTCATGATAATTCAACAGAGTGAAGTTATATATCAAATAGTTGCTGTGGGCTAGGAAAATTTTCACCTGATTCTTTGCCCATGGTACTGTGGATTGGATATCATATAAAACACTACTCGCAATTTCATCTTTATTTTATGAGGCATTTATGATGATATGGTTCAAGGATTCCTATATGTGCGAGCATAAGTGAGTGATTACCTTTTGTTGATTGCAAGATAGAACGTTTGATTAAGGTTAGTTGGTATATTCTAAATGCTTAATTATGTGTGAATATAAGTGAGTGATTACCTTTTGTCGATTGCAAGATAGAACTTTTGATTAAGGTTGGTATATTCTAAATGCTTAATCTATAGTAATAACAATTTGATTTGAAAGCAAAAAAATATACTCTATTGTTAATTTAATAACAATTTGATTTGAAAGAAAAAAAATATACTCTATTGTTAATTTAGAGTAGAACGATGACGAGCCCAGTTAAGTTCATATGGTTGTCACGGACCCAATTCTACTTATGTAGTGAAACTGGTTGATGAAGCTTAATTAAAGATCCTTGTCAATGACTGCATGTTACATCATTTAAAATTTTACAGACTTGCGGTGAAAATTTATTAAAGGGGCAATGTTTTAGTTGATTTCAAATATCAAGGAGCTTCATGCCCAATCAGTTGTTTCTTATGCTGTACAAATAATTATGAATGGGGAATATTCAGGTTTTTATCATACATATTATGGTTATTATTTTGTGGCAAACCCACCAGATCATAGGGCACATGCCACGTTTTGGCTAGAATAGGATTTTGTAATATAATCATATGGACACACTTGATATTACATTGATTGTTTGTTAGCTTGAATTAAACTTAAATTGCCATTCATGGCAAGTTGTTGTGGATAATAGATGAATAGTTGCTCTAACCTTAAAGCTTGCAATTGTTATTTGAGCATTTTTTTAAGTTATTGCAATTTTCAACTTCTTTTTTTTGCAGGGGCATTTACATGCATGCCACCCAATTCATATGCATTCCCATATATAACTCCTAAACTTTGCTTTTTTACATTTATACTCCCCAAATCTTTTATATCACATAAAAAGTACCCCTATTTTAACTTTTAAAAAGTGAATTGCATTCCTTATGCATAGGTCAGATGTTATGTATGTAAAAAATTGAAGTTTATATGTTGATGTGTAAATACACAGGAATTTAGTGGTATGTATGTAATTTTTTTTGAAGGGTCATAAATTTAGGTGGAATTTTCTCCAATTATAATACTATTTTGAATGTGCTATCCTCAATTTTCTAGCCCAATGTTGTTTGAAAATTTGAGGTTGTTTTCATGTTAAGGGATCCTTTTCGACTAAAATTTGATGTCTACACAATCATTGTAAGAAAAAAGTTTGTTGAACCATTTGTCTTTATGATTGTGAACTTAATTTTTAGAATGAATATCTCCAGTGATCATGTGTGATAAATGGACCCATCACTCGTGTTATAGAAGGTTTGATGAATTTTGTTGTTTTGAATCTTGTTGTCTTTGTTTAAGAAGGATTTGGTTCACAAATCTATGTGTAATTCACAAGTTCATTTAAACATTCAGTCGCAATCTCCTATTTTTTATCATCATTGAAGCGCTTGATGAATAATGTGAAAACATTGTATATTTGTATTAAATAGCACAACATAAGTATTTGGATAATGAGATTTCATGCATGTTTTAAAATGCAATTGAAATATTTAGGAGCATTGGTTATCATTGTATCATCCCTAGATCCATCATGTGATTGACTCCATTTTGACAATCAATGCATGCGCCTCCTCTGACAATGTTCAACATATGCCCAGTAAATCCTTCGATCTTGTTAGTGTTCTCGTCAAATTATGTCTTCTTGCATAATTCCTCAAGGACTAGCCATGCTTCTTAACTCTTTTTTTAAGTTCTCGTGGACATGTATTGCAAAATGTAGATGTGCTAGCCAAACATTTTCTCAATGATCATAAACCAAGCTAAAATATTTATGTGATATTATCCATGTCTTTTCTCAATCGAGCCAGTTGATCAATTTATATATTGAGAAATCACAACCATGATTCATTTTCTTTCTGCCCAATAGTAGCAAAGGTGAAGGGAAATAGCCCATTATCGGCTTCAGTTCTAACGATGACTTGCTACATATTTCTATAGATGGATGTGGAACCATAATTTGAAGATCTTTATTGCCCCCACATAGACCTCAACTCTTGGATGCCAATCATTTCCAATGATATGACAGTAATTGATGATTTATTACAAACGCCCAACTATTAGTCTACTCTTATTTAAAAAAAGGAGCATGTACATACATATCACACATATTAAAGCATGGATTGTCAGCAAACTCACACCACCTAGATAAAAATATGTAAAGGAGAAGAGTGAAATATTGAGAAATAGAAGAAAAAATCTTTAGAGTATGGAGATGAAACTGAAAACTTCTAGTATGATCTCTCGAAAAGAAGAAAAATAAGGAAAAAAACCTCCTTTCTGTCTAGGCTCTCCTATTTGTAGATTTGAGTACGCCTGCAAGGTTTGTTATATAAATGGCTACACAGTAAAGAGAAAATATATTCAAAATAGTAGGAATGATGGAGCAACTTGTATAGCTCATTTTATGTTGTGTAACTTTGTCTGGTTATAAGGTGAACTGATAAAGTCGTCATGACTTCCGAAATTAGCTGACCGAATTGTTCTCTGTCGAACTTATTAGGCAAGTTTTTGTCTGATTTTTCTGGTTGAGTAAGCCAACATGAACTGGCATGTGTCATACCATTCAAATGAGTCAACTAAAATTGGCAGAGCGAGTTTGTCAAGTTGTCCTGCCGAATTGATCAAATTTGACTGTCGCTTTGTGCTTTCTTTGAATATGCCTTTCTCTGAATATGTTTGGAATATTCTGATCACGTGATGTGCTTCATTTTTACCCATGTGTTGGACTTCGTAATGGGTTTTTTAAAGTTGTACAACAAAATTCTTATATATTTATATATCTAACACTTAGATTTTCATATTCACATACTTAACACTCAAATCTTTGGTATTACATTAAAAATACTATTATTATTAACTTTTTAATATTGAAATATAGTTTTTTCATGCATAAATTTATGACAATATGCTATAAATATAAATATCAAAATTTAGGTGTCAGTTATGCAAAATACATAAAAATTATGTAGTTAGGATGTATATTTTTCTATATAGAAAAAAATTCTTATGCTTGAAGCCCAACCATTTACATAGACCATAACCCCGACATGCATGGGAAGTATTTCATTTAATGCAATCTGATGGATCATGTTGAAAGCCATTCTAATCTTCTCTAATTGACTCCAACAAAATCAAGATGCATGGAATTGAATAAGGGCGTGATCTCATTTCATGCCATAATTTCAAAACTCATCATGGAATTGGTAAGCTTATTCAACAGCACAAATGTGATGTTAAAGATTTAAGTGCTATGTATGTAAATATGAATGTTTGTGTTAAATATGAGATGCAAATAAATAAGAATTGTGTTCGTAAGGCTTAGCATTTGGTACAAAAGATGTCCAGCAAATTTCAAATTAAATGACCATGCGAAAGCCCCGTATTTTCCATTCGCAACTCTACACAAGTCCAAAATTATTCGTTGCTATACTTGGTTAAAAAAAAGTCTCAACATTTATAAACACGTATACATGGCTTTGTTAAAATGTATGATAAAGCTTATTTTCAGATGGGATCAACTCGTTTGCAGCAAAACGAAGTATATTCATATGAGAAATTAAAACCCACTAAAACTTCAAAAGAAATAGATATATTCTATAATTTTTTTAGCAGTTGTTTTTATGAATGATTATAATGTTTATATTAAATATGGACCTATGAATTAAAAAAATATGTATATTTTATGTATACTATTCTATTCGTATTAGTAATTGTATAATATTTTAAATTAAGAGTTTCTACATGTGTATGATAAGTGTGTGTGTGTATATCTCTCTGTATATATGTGTGCGTGCGCGTGTGATATGTTTCTTTAAATTTTTTTGAAATAATAAGAGTTTCATAGAGTGCTAAATTTTTATTTATTTATTTTTTGTTTTTGAGAATCTACAAAATTTAAATTATTTACACCAAATCTATATATAATATATTAAGCCAATTTAAAAAAAATATATATCATGATAAAATGGACAAAGTAAATATATCTAATATATGTTTAGTGATATAACTAATATCTATTCTTAAGCAAATTACAAAAAAATAAAAAATAAAATTAAGGAAAAAGCTTATAGCAAATTGTTTAGAAGCATTTTGCATGAATTACTTTAAAATCATGGCGCGTGACATTTAAATGTTTAAATCACGTATTTATTAATTAATTAAATTTTATTCAAATTATTATAATAAAATAAAAAATTTACATATTTTGATAATGTTTTTGCCATTTTTTAATGATTTTTATATTCGTAGATTTTATTTTGACATAAAATTATTAAATTAAAAATATTTTTTTTTATGATAGATGTCACACAAATGTCACATGCAGCTTAAATGGATCATCTAAGTTTTGATTTCAATAAATTAATTGTCAAACCGGATGCCTCAAACAATACAAAAAGTGCTTCAATTTGAATTCCAATCAACTCGAATCAAACACTTAAAAATATAATCAGAATGATTGAAATACTAATTAAATTTGACATGTTTGATGGTAGAATAATGCGGCTTGATGAGAAAAGGCCAATAAGCCTAGGATTATTCAATTTCGAGAGTGATGGGGAATTTAAATGTTGAATAGAGTGCTTATTATATTAAAAATTATAAATACACTCACATTACTCACAGAGAGAATGGAATAGTGAACTGAAAACTAAATCAATATTCATGAAAAAAGCCAAAAGTCAACAATCAATAACAATCGCTTGTAATTGTTGTAATCCCAATAATTATAGCCTAATTAATACTAAAGTAATGTATTGTCACTTAATTGGTGTTGTACCTAGAATGTACGTGGCCCGTCCACTTCTCTAATCCCTCCTCTTCCAAAAAAAAAAAAAATCAGATCACGAGTTCTGATGCACGACATCAAGACTCCAATCACTATCTATCATGTGTACAATCTAACCCCACTATATATTAAATTATTTAGTTTTTCTTGAAATCAGATCATGAGTTCTGATGCACGACATTAAGACTCCAATCACTATCTATCATGTATGCAATCTGACCCCACTATATATTAAATTATTTAGTTTTTCTTGAGATTTATATATGTGGCAGATAGTATTTGGGGTCTTTATGTACTTTTGAATCATGACCCCTTCAAACAGCTATTAGGTGTGAATCCGGTCATGTAAATTTCATTATATTTTAATCATATTAATTATAGGAATATAATAAAAAGAATGCAGCACCTATTTTATAGGCGCCTAACAATTATTCCTCCTTCACCACTATGCTTCGCCTGCTTCGCTTCAAGCCTAGCCACCATCTCCACTACTCGACCAGCACCAGATCCACCACATCCCCAACTCCTCCCCCTCAATCCCCACCACTCGTCACTGATCCCACCCTCACCCTCTACTTTCTCCAAAAATCCTGCAACCTCTCTCCCTCCGCCGCCGCCGCCGCCTCCAAAGAAATCAACCTCAAATCGACCAAAAGACCCCATTCCGTCATCTCCCTCCTCCGCAACCACGGCTTCTCCGACGACCACATCACCGCCCTCATTTCCCGCCTTCCCAAACTCCTCCTCGCTTGCCCCACTCGCACCCTCAAACCCAAGCTAGACTTGTACGCATCCCTCGGCCTCTCCAATGACGACTTCGCCGATCACATCTACACTCGAGCTCGCATCTTCCTTTCCAGCATTAAAAATCGCCTTGCACCCAACCTTCGTCTCCTTCGCCTCCTCATACCCTCCCACGCCGACCTCCTTGCCGCTGTTCGCCGTTATCCCGCTGTCATTCTCTCCGATCTGCAAAACATAGTTCCCGATAAGACCAAGCCTTTGCTAGATTACGGGCTCCCTATGGACGGTGTACTCAAGCTGATCGCTTTGCACCCAAAGTGTTTGACGAAATGCTCCACTAAATTTGACTCGTGTCTTGCGGCTGTGAAAGAGCTGGGCATCAACCCATCAAGCTCGACCTTCGTTCACGCCTTTGCGGTGATTTCTAAGGTGCCGGCCCCTGTTTGGAAAAGCAGGGTGCAGAATTTTTTGAGCTTGGGTTGGTCGATGGATCAAATTAGTGGCGCGTTTGCGAGGCATCCTTACTGTATGTCATCATCGGAGGAGAAGGTGAGGAGAAATTTGGAGTTTTTTGAAGAGAAGCTCGGTTGGGGGCCGGCTAAGGTGTCCTGTTCGCCAGTGCTTTTGTCTCTGAGTTTTGAGAAAAGGATTGTGCCGAGGTATGGCATGCTTAAGCTTCTTGATGAGAGGGGTTTGTTGAGGGATGGCATGACCTGCCGCCATTTTTTATTGGGGGAGAAGAGGTTTAACAAGAATTATGTGGATAAGTACCAGCAAACTGTTCCAGAGATCTTGGAAGCTATTAGTGGAAAGTTGGGAGCTTTGTCTTCTTCAGGGATGGAGGAGACATAGGATTTTTTTTTTCTTTCTTCTTCAACTCTACTCAGGCCGAATTTCTTTTCCATCAAAACAATTAAGGTTTGCCCCATTCTTATATACCAAAGAAGGAAGCAAGGTTTTTCAAGTAAAAATTTTATTTATTGTTCTAACCCGGATCTGCATTGGGAATATATCAATCAGATACTGTATATATTTGGATGGTTTACCTTCGGGGTATTAAAAAATATATTCTTGCTTCTGGTTGGAACTCTTATTTACATTATTTGAAGCATTCTTAACTTCTTCTGTGGCTAAAATTTTATACAGGATCAAATATTACGCTGCTCGAAAGATGAAGAAATGAAATTTGAAGGATGATATTACTCCTGAAATTGTGAACTTATATTTTACAAATGATTTCATCAGTGCCACCTCTTTTCCTTATTTTTTACAGGTTCAAAAATAAAATGAGGGAAAAAAAAAACAAACAGCATGTGCTGTAACATCTGCGGGCACCGAATCCCATTCTACTCGGGCAAAATATGGTATAAACCTTCCTTACTGAATCAAATCTCCAAAAATTTTCTTTATTTTTTAGAGATGCTAAACAAGCCATTATTTTTTGTTTTTCTTAGTCTTCTGAAAGTTGAGAGCTTCGGCTTTGATCTTTATGATAGGGCTTATAAAAATTATTATACAAAAGCAATAACAGTAATGAAAGAAGAACTAATTTGCATAAATTCATATGCTAGAAATTTATTTTGGTTTAAGCCTTTTATTATTGACATTTAGATTTACATTCTCTGGAGCTAAAGTTTTTTTTGATTTGATTTACTCATTTTAAGGTCTTTCTTAGTATAAGTTATGCTGAGCTTCATTTTTTTAATTTGAAATATTTTCACCAATTTAACATGGCATTCGGCTGCATAAATTTTTTGAGATTTCAATTGATTAACATATTATGGTCATAAGTCCTTATGAATTAATTATGTATTCAAGTTTGGACTGACTTCTACAGTATCCATTTGCTAGGGCCGAAGGTTTGTGTTGGGTCATAACATTTGAGGTTATTGCATAAAGACTCTCCATGTTTCAATCCTTCATTTTTTGGGTTCAACTGCAAATTCCATTGTTTGTTGATTTTATTATACTAATTTTTGCAGTCTATTTGCATGCACAATGAAGATTTCATGTGGATCGATTGTTGGATTAGAGTGGGGGCTTGCTAGAATCTGTTTCTTGTTTCACGTGCTTATTTGGTATGTATTACTTTTGAGGGATATTTGTGTGATTGTGATGTTGTTGTCATCCTCAACCTCATGTGAGGTAGTTTGCCCATTTGTTATGTTGCGAACATACACTCAATACTCAATTTTGTCGATCATAACTTTCACTGGGTTGTGTTTTCTTGCCTTTCTTTATGATTGATCGATGGATACACATATTGTACATGCCCTAGTTTTGATTTTACACCCATGTGTAGTTCAGGCAAAGATGTGTGTCATAGGCACACGAGAACACACATAGGGTTTTCAATCGCAAAGATTCAATGTTCTCCATCAACACACATGATCTAAACTATCTGATCTTTAATCAAATGATTAAGGTCAATTCTTTTATGTATGAGAATTGGTTCTCATTGGTTTCACAATTGCATGTTAGTGGGTTACCATGTATGATATGCACATCACAATGTCAATGTTAAGTTTGGCTTAGCCATTTTGGGATCTACTAAAACTTTGTGAGATTGTTAAAACACAATAGTAAAAATATTTTAAGGACACGTATCTAGTGCCTAAGACACCATAAGGCTAAACTTACTCTTCCATGGGGTCCATAAGGCCTTAGGACATTTTAAAATAACCTCTTTCAGTTATCTTAATACTTTGAAAATATAAAAGCATATGAGCAGAAGCCTTATTTTAAATCATTTGGGCATTAACAATGATTGTAACCTTAAACTTTTTTTTTCCTCAAATTATCTTAAGTAGACTAATGAATATTTTTAGAAATGTTATAATGCCTCAAAACAATATATTAATTTAATGCCCTTGAAACTCTAGCCTTATCCTAATAGAACCTAAGTGACTTAGTTTTCTACACTGGAATATTCTACTTGATTTAGACAGACTACTGGTTTGTCTTAATAGTCTTAAATGATTTTAAGCTTGTTGGGTCTTGATTAATTTAAGTTATCCTCCTTTGGGCATAATGATGTATTTCTCCAACTTGGGTTCGAATGTCTATACTGTTGGACTCTTTTAACTCTAAGATAGCATGGCCCATTTTATGGTATAATTTATAGGTCCATCTTTATGGCTTATTAAAATTCACATGCCCTTAGATGAGGAAGTTAGGATCCCATAGTAGGTTTAATCCCATTGTTCAGTTTTGCATATTATATCCCTAAATTCCCGAAGCTAAGATCATGATATGGATTATCTTTCACTCTATTAGTATCTTATTATTTTCTAGTTTTTTAGATTTAGGACTCAAAACTTGGAGAACTTTTATCACCATTTTCTCATTTCTTAAATCATATCTTCTTAAATTATATGTTCTTAGACCTTTGCGAAGACATGGACAACTTTTATATGGGTCGTGTTCATCACTTTGAGGTTCTTGTGACACTTAATGATGAAACCTTGACTCATAACAATGTCTTAATAAATTGAATAAGTCATCATTGATTCAAATTGAAACCATCCCTATTTAATGAATTTGAACCCTCTTTAATAAAATAATGATAACTTGGACATCACATTGTTTATTAGAATACCATGTACTAACTTATCAAACATTTGATGATATGATAAGCACATACTTTTCTTTTGTGCTTGTTGAGTAATGTACCCATAGTCTAGCATAGCTATATTGCTTGTGATTATATGCACTAGGATAGAGATATTTGTTATAGGTGCTTTTTTTCTTAATGCTCTTACAAGCACTATGTTGATGGCTCTAGTACCGTATTGTGCTAGGCTAAAAATAAATGTCTTGAAAAGTTTTAACATAGCGTGCCTCCATGCACGTTTGCTTTAATTATATACTTTTAGTCTAATAAAAACTTTATAGAATATGAGTGATTAAGATGGTAAGAGGTCATATGTTGAGCTAAATTGAAACAAACATAATATCCCACGTCATACTTCTATATTTGTTTTCTTAGGGCTAGGTTACATACCTAGTAAATCTAAGCTACTTTTTTTTTTCTTTTGTCGTGTATTACATAATGCAACTACACTTTTAGACATCTCACATTTCTTGTTTTGATTTAATGTGATTTCGTAATTAAGTATGCCCTAAAAATGTTTCATTTTCACTAAGTTTATTGATTGTGATATAATTAGCTTGATGTGTTATCGTTATGTTTCCAAGTTGTTGACTATTTTATGTTAATATTTAAGCAATCTAAAAACAACTATAAGGAAAAATTTTCTTAAAATATTTTGCACGACTTCTCTTTAAAATAAGATTTTATAACAAGCAACTTTAGCCCATTTCATGGATCAGGGATGTGCAATCAGTATTGGACTGTTTGTCTTGTCTGTTAACAAGTGTTTTATAAAATTATTAAAACCTCAAACTAATATTTACATATGTATAATGTCATGAGTTCACATATTAAATTTATGTATATATCTCACTAAGAACTAGATAAGTAAATTCAAATTTACATGAGTTTAATATTATGTTCATTTATGGTCGGGTTACATTTTCTTTAGCTGTTATGGAAAAAATACCCTTCCTTTTATTTTTGAAGTGATTATGTCCTGTATTTGTATATGGACGTAATATCATGGTTCAAATTCAATTAGATTGGTTTAGGTGATTGTTCTTTCCAAGCATGACTTTACAACCATGTCATAGCCTTAATGGCGTGTTTAATTCATTGCTTTAAAATTAGGCCTTAGATTAGCATCATTTTTATGGTGTTATAGTTCTCATTATTTGATAGTCTGAAAAGATATTTAGAATAAAAATTCACGACTGTCATATTTTCCTGCAAAATTTGATGTCATTAGAACTTAGTTGGTTGTTGAGCAAAATAAATAATCCATTGATTGAAATCAATTAATTTTTCAGTTATGGGCAACTCATTTAAAACTAGATGATGTATGACAGTTTAAATCAAATATTCTAATAAAACTGTGCAAGCTCGAAAAAATGTTCTCGCCTAGTTTTTTTTACTATATGGAGTATCTGTCGGTAAATCTACCACACGAGGCATTAATTGGTGGTCCAGTTCAGTATCGCTAGTTGTATCCGTTGCGAGGTAATAAACTATGCACTTAGTAGTTATTCCTTGATAAAGATTGTCAAATTATACTAAATATGTGATGCACATTTATTGAAGAGAACTTTAAAAAATAAAGCTCAACCAAAAGTTTAAATATGTGATGCACATTTATTGCAAGAGACTACAAATTTTTGCTTCCTTACTATGCATGTTACGTGCCTGACTTGCATGGATCTCTTCCTGACAGCGCATCACTTGCCTACGTAATTCAGCTGTAATTATCATGCACGATGCTTAGCTTCTTGAGTCATTTTATTAATCAAAATAGAGAGACCACATCAAGAAATATATTTGTGTTGAATGTCAAGGAACACAAACGAACATCATTGAACAAGAATTATTTTGGACTCTTGTATAGCTAAAATTCACTAATCATGGAGCTCACCCAAGAAGAGAATGTGTTGAGTTTAGGGCGAATTTGTCAAATGAGTCTAAGGTAAACTCTCCGATAAAGCTCAAGGATGACTCATCGGTCAAGTTTCATGAGGGCTCGTCAAACTGGCTTTAGGATATCTACTTTTCAAAATCAATACAAACTCATCTACCACGTACGAGAATACATTCAATAAGCTTATAAAAAACTTACCCAATGATAACATTCGACTCATTGGACTAAATTCGTTCAAATAGCTGTCTACGCGCAAAAAGCTAGTCAGTGACTACTCATAGGTGAGTTAGCAGCTCCAAATTTGATAATCCACCATTCGATCCGAGTCTAATTCTTTTCTTCAACTCTACTCAGGCTGAATTTCTCTTCCATTAATACAATTAAGGTTGCCCCTATTCTTCAAGAAGGGAACAAATAGTTGTGTACTAGAGGAGGAAGGAAGTTTTTTCAAGTAAAAAATTTATTTATTGCTCTAGCCCGGATCTAGGGTTGTCAAAACGGCTCGTTGCTCGCAAACAGCTCGTGTTCGGCTCGTTAAGAAGCTCGTGTTCGGCTCGTTAAGAAGCTCGTGTTCGGCTCATTCGCTAAGTTAACGGGTTGAACACGAATAACATGAATAAAGATTTATTCATTCGTATTCGGCTTGAAATACTACTAATCAATTATTTATATATATTCCAAGATATATATATATATATATATATATATATATCTTGGATGAGTAGTATTTTTAAAAAATTTAATTGACTACAAGGCTACAAAGATTTATAACCAAGTAAAAGAATTAATTAAGAAAATTGAATAAAAATTATTAAATTAGATTCAAATGATGTTTTAATATAAATGATAATTTTTAAATCTTGTTTCAATTCTTAGCATCTTATGGATATGTGATTAGGGTTGTCAAAACGACTCTTTGTTCATGAACGGCTTGTGTTCAGCTCGCTAAACAAACGAGTCGAACACAAACACACTTTTTAAGCTTGAAATATAAACGAGCCGAACACGAGCTAAGCCTGGGCTCGCTCGTAGCTCATGTTCGGCTCGTTTACACCCCCTACCCGGATCTACATTAAAAAAAATATATATTTGGCACAAAGAGATGTCAATCAGATAGTTGTATTAAAAATGATTTTCTTGCTTTTGGTTGGAACCCTTCTTTACATTATTCGAAGCATCCAAAACTTCTTATGTGGCTAAAATTTTATACAGGATCAAATACTACGCTACTGGAAAGATGAAAAAATGTAATTTGAAGGATAATATTACTCCTGATATTGCAAGCTTCTATTTTACGAATGATTTCATCAGTGCCTCCTCTTTTCTATATTTTTTACAGGATCAAAAATTAGATGAGAAAAGAAAAAATGAACAGCATGAGCTGTAACACCTACGGCTGCCGGATCCCATTCTGCTCAACAAAAAAAAACAGTATAAACCATCCGTACTGAATCAAATCTCCAAACGCTTTCTTTGTTTTTTAAAGATGCAAAACAAGCCTTTTATTATTTTTTTTCTTGGTCTTCTGAAAGTTGAGAGTTTGAGCTTTGATCTTTTTGATTGAGCTCATACATACAAAAGCAATAACATTAATGAAATAAGAATTAATTTGCATATATTCATATGATAGAAATTTATTTTGATTTGAGCCTTTATTATTGACATTTAGATTTAAATTCTCTTGAGCTAAAGTTTTTTTTGGTTT